TTGGCCGGCCAGAGCGCTGATAGCGAGAGAGGCGGGCGAGCCGCGGGGTTCCGGGCCGTCTCTCCAGCGTCTGTGGAGGGCGCTAGGTCGGGGCGCTTCCTGTGTTGGGCGAACAAATGGTCCCTGTCCAGGGTTTGCATCTTAGCGAGGGGGACACAGCGCGACCGGACTCAGTGTGACCCGGGCCCAACGTCGGGCCTCTCTGGCCTCTCTCCCCACCCTGAGCAGTGGGTGGCTGGACGGGGTCTTATTGAGGTTACACCCCTCTCAGACAGGTGGGGACAGCAGGCCACTGGGATAGCGGCGACGGCCCAGACCTGCAGTGTGACCTGGGCCGGACGCCTCTCTTGAGTCCTAGCTTCTCCAGAGGCCAGAGAGGAGCACTGCTAAGCGCTTCTGTCTGAGAGGTTGCTTCCGAGGGGCTTGGCCCTCCAGCTGGAGAGTTCGGGTGCTGGGTGGTAGCCTTCTTACGTGGCCACCTCGGGCATTGGGCCCGGATTAGGATCCAGCTTTTATGACTTCTACTCTGGTGCTCTCCGTTCCCCCCCCCCCCCATATATAAACCACCCTTCCAGGTGTGAGGCACACATGCAGAGAGAAGACGGTGTTTGCAGATTTCAAGGGGAGGCTGTTATGGGTGGACCAGAACTTACCTCTGCCCGCTGGACCTAGAGGTGGACTCTGTCTTAGCCTTGTTCTTCCGGGAGGCTCAGGTGAGGGCAGGAGGCTGCACCCGACAGTTGCTGCTCTGTTGGGAGCCCTCCCCGCCAGCTGCCATTCCCCCTGCTCTTGGAAGGGGGCCTCTGGCAGGTGTATTGGGAGTGAAACTGGGCACAGGGCCACGGGTCTTTGTTGTGGTTGCAGTTCTGTGGGGTGGCAGTGGCTTTGCCCTGCCTCAGGGGCATCTTTTCCTGAGGAGAGTCTTTGCTGGCCCCCGTGGTGCCCCCAGAATGCTTCTTTAAGATTTCTAATGTTTGGAGTGGGAGCGATGTTTGGATGTCTGGGTACAAGCTGCTGTTGGAGGAAGAGCCTCTCTGGAACATTCTCTCCACTGTCGTCCTAAGCAGTGTCCTGAAGGGCCCTGCTTTTTCTTAGGGGTCAGGTAGAGTGGAGATGCTGGGGATGCCATCAGGCGTGGTCCAGGGCTGACCTTTGTGTTCACTGGACGGTCTGAGACATGATGGAGGGTAGAGGATCTGATTTTTTAAAAATTATTTATTTATTTATTATTATTATTGTTAATAATATTATTTTTCACATGAGTTTTGCTAGAGAAAGACAGAGAGAGAGGGAGAGTGAGAAAGCAAGCTGCCAGGTCCAGGACTCAAACCATGGCCAGCCATGTGGGAATTCCAGCACCTTAACCACCATGCCACCTGCTGGCCCGAGAATCTGATTTCTGAGAGGAAAAGTGCTGAAAGACCTCCATTTTTTCCCCTTGGGATTAAAAAAAAACTTGATTGTGATATTGTGCACATGCCATGAAACTTACCCTTTAAAGTGTACAACTCAGTGCTTTTTAGTAAATTCAGTGTGTGCCACCATCGGCACTATCTAATCCCAGGACATTTTCATCAGGCCAAAGAGAAAGCCCAAGTCACATCTCCACACCCCACTGCCGTGCCCCCGCCCTTGGCAACGATAGCCACTAATGTACTCTTTCTAGATTTGAACTATTGCGGCCACTTCGTACAAATGGAATCAGGTAAAATGTGGCCTTTCGTGTCTGCTTCGTGTCTGTGTTGGTACTTCGCTCATCGTATGCTGAACGACAGGGTGAATTATATTGGGAATAACATTCTGTAGGTGGACATACCCCGTTTGGTTTATTAATTCATCTGTTGGCAGATACTTGGGTTTGTTTATAGTCTGGCGGTTTTAAATAATGCTGCTGTGAACATTTGTATTCAGGGTTTTTTTGTGTGTGTGAATATATTTTAATTTCTTTTGAGTATTTACTTAGAATTACTGTCATTTGCTAACTCTGCGCTTAACATCTTTTTCCCCCTATTTGCTGGAGGATGTGTGCACTTGCTGGGCAGGGGGTGCAGAGAGAGAGAGAGAGAGGGAAAGCGAGAAAGCACTTCCCGGAGGCTGGCCACACTGGTCTCACCACCTCCTTTCTTCTCGGGATTTTGGACTTGCGCATACGTACACTCTGCTAATTTTCTAAGTCACTGGGTTCAGTCTCAAACTGCGTAGTTGACCATGTGGGATCCAGCTGCCCTAATCACCATGCCACTGACTGGCCCTATGTTTAATGTTTTGAGGAACTACTGAATTGTCTTCTGTAGTGGATGCTTTTTGTTGTTCTTTTTAAAGATTTTTTTTTTTTAGAGAGAGATTTTTGCGATCGGATGCTTGTGCTCACTGGAGAGAGAAAGAAAATGAGAAATCACCCCCTGGGGGGGTGGCCACATCGTAATCTATTCTCTTCCATTCTTTCTTTTATTTTTTGTAGAGGTTTTTTCCTATAGGGCGCGTGTGCTCGCCAGAAAGAGAGAGAGAGACAGAGAGATAGAAAGCGAGAAATCACCCCCCGGGGGATGGCCATGCTGCAATCCCTTCTCCTCCATTCTCTCTCAGGATCTTGGGCATGCACACACACGTGCCTGGCATGAGTTTAAGCCACTGGGTCCGGGACTTGAACCCCGGTTGACTACATGGGAGTCCAGTGACATAGCCATTACGCTAACTGCTGGTCCCTATTCTCTGCTATTCTGTCAGGATTTTGCACGCGCATGTGCCCAGTGTGAGTTTCAAGCCGCCAGGTCTGAGACTTGAACTGCAGTTGGCTATGTGAGAGTCCAGCAACGTAACCATTACTCCATCTGCTGGTCCTGGTGTCTTGTATGAATTTTAGAATTAGCAAAAAAAGATACCTTTTTTTAAATTAAGTTTTTTTAGAGAGATTTTTGCTGTAGGGCCCAGGGACTCACTGGAGAGACAGAGAGAGACAGACAGAAAGCAAGAAATCACCCCCCAAGGGGGATGGCTGTGTTGCAATCCCTTCTCCTCCAGTCCCCTCTCGAGATTTTGGGCATGCACGCACACACACCTGACATATTTCCAGCTGCTGGGTCCAAGACTCGAACCACAGTCGACTACATGGGAGTCCAGCAACATAACCATTATGCCATTTGCTGGTCCCAATTCCTGGGGTTTTGATAGGAATTATAGGAACCTGTAGATCAATTTGAGGAGTATTTCATCTTAATAACATTAGGTCTTCTAATTCATGAACATAGAATGTTTTTTCATTTTATAAGTCCTTTTTAATTTTTTATAGTTTTTACTATACAAACTTGGCATTTTGTTTAATTATCTCTAAGTATTTTATTTTTTGTGTATCATAAATAGAATTGTTTCAGATTCTTCATTGCTAGTGTACATAAATACAGTTTTTTAAAAGAATTATTTAATTTAACTTCATTTATTTATTTATTTTAATTTGACCAGAGAGAAACAGAATGAGAGAGAGAGAGAGAGAGAGAGAGAGAGAAAGTGAGAAAGCAAGCTGCCAGGTCCAGGACTCGAACTGTGGTTGGTTATGTGGGAGTCCAGCACCCTTAACTACCATGCCACCTACTGGCTATTAGTTTTTTCTTTTTTTAATAATTATATATTTAATTTTATTTATTACTATTTTTTTATTTTTAACTTTGCTATAGTGAGAAAGCAAGCCACCAGGTCTGGGACTCGAACCATGGTCAGCCATGTGGGAGTGTCCAGTGCCTTAACCACCGTGCAACTGCTGGCCCCATGCAGTTGGTTTCTATGTGTTTTGTATCCTGCAACCTTACCGAGGTAATTTATTAGTTCTACTAGGTTTTTAGTGAATTTCTTAGGATTTCCTCTTTACAAGATCATGCCTTCAGCACTTTCCCCTTTGTACACGACACATGATCATTGTGCATATTTGTGGGGTATAGGATAATGGAAAAAAAAGCTTTTTAACAATTTTTCTGCTTTTCATTTTTTAAGAAAAGTTTATTTAGGGCTAGCTAGCCCGTGGCATGATGGTTAAGGTGGCTGGATCCTACATGGCCGATTCCACAGTTCTAATCCCAGACCCGGTGGCTTGAAAACCATACCAGCCATGGTGCATGCGTGCCCAAAATCCTGAGAGGAGCATGGAGGAGAAGGGATTGAGATGTGGCCATCCCCCCTGGGAGGTGATTTCTCACTTTCTGTCTCTGTCTGGCGGGCTCACGTGCCCTATAGCAAAAAGCTCTCAAAAAAAAGCCCTGAATTACTGTTAACTGTAGTTTTACCGTGCTACGGAACACTTGCACTTACTCTCCATCTCAGTGTATGCCTTGAGCATTTTTAATCCCTCCTGGCTGTTACAGCAAGGGTCTTGGGTTTGGGGAGCCCCTCCCTCACCCACATTTGTCCCCGGCTCTCCCTCAGGAGGACCCCTCGCTGGAGAGGCATTTTAAGGGCCACCGAGATGCAGTTACCTGCGTGGACTTCAATCTCAACACGAAGCAGTTGGGTAAGAGGAGGCACTAGGCACTAGGTTATGAGGGAGGGTGTCATGGGGGGAGCAGAGCACAGCAAGGACAGGGACATTTGTCTAGACCTGCCTCGTCTCTGGGTCTGGACTCTGAGCTCCATTTTACGTACAAAAAGAGTGTGAGGCTCTGAGAGGTTAGGGCCTTGCTGGGGTCACACAGCTCTTGAGGGTGGACCCGGGGCCTGGACTTTTCACTGCACACCCCTGTCACCTCGTGGGTCTGTTCTATGCAGTGGGCTCTAAGCGACGGCTCATTTCCCTTGAATCCTTATTGATTCTGTCGCCGTGGTAACAGGGCACCTTCTTGTTGAAGAGGCCCGGAGGGAGAAGGATGTTGAGTACAGGTGGGCACCCCTCACCCATTGCCCTTGGGCTGCAGCTGAGTGCCCCCGTTCTTAGTCACGTGGGGTTCAGGCTGCAGCTTTCTTGTTCCCATAGGTGAGATGTGCCCCTCATCCTGTTGTCAAGGGTCCGCGCCAGAGGCTGCTGGCCTGGTGGTACACAGTGGGTCAGGGGGACTGATCATTTCAGGCTGTCTTGCCGACCTTCTCTGTCCTTCTACCGGGCTGGGCCCTGTCTGTGGTAAAAGGCCCTTTGAGTTGGGCTGCTCCCAGTGGGAGGTGAGGGGGCTTGCTCTCTACTGCCCCTAGGGTGTGCGTTGGGGGGTGCAGAGACCTAGGGCCCTGTGGGACAAGTGTCCAGAACCCAGGCTGGCAGCCAGGCCTGTGAAGAGGCTGGCTCCCTCGTGGGCCTGTGGCCTGCCATGGGTGCTCTGAACCCCCTGGGGGCTGCCCTGGAGCTGCGATCCGCCCACTGCTCCGTCAGAAGATGCTGGGGAGGGTGGAATGTGGCCCTTGCACCCCCTACCTCCCCATGCCCTGGCAAGGCCTGAGGCCCGAGGCTGGCCAGAGCTGAGGGTCATGGCATCATCCCTGTCTTCAGCCAGTGGCTCCATGGACTCCTGCCTCATGGTCTGGCACATGAAGCCTCAGTCACGTGCCTACCGCTTCACCGGCCACAAGGATGCTGTCACCTGCGTGAACTTCTCCCCCTCGGGACACCTGCTGGCCTCAGGCTCCCGTGACAAGACTATCCGCCTCTGGGTACCCAATGTGTGAGTTACGACTTTGAGAGACTTGTCAATCTGGACTCTGGTGCCAGAAGCACCTCTAGCCAGGTCCCCTGTTCCAGCCCTGGACTAGGTGTGGCGAGACTTCTAGCCCACTCCCGGGAGGTGTGCTCAGGGAGGCCCTCTCTCAGGGCTAGAGAGGGACTCTGTCTGAGGAATGGTCCCTAAGCTGCTGCATGTTGGCGGGGAGGCAGCGCTTGGCTCCTGCTGGGGTGGCCATGGTCCCTGGGGGTGGGGGTGCTCAGGCCCTGGGCTGATCCTGGGAGAGGGGCCTAGGGCCGGGAGAGCTTCCATGTGCTGTGGGCCCTTGTGTCCTGACCCCGGATGCCTGTCCTCTTAGTAAAGGTGAGTCAACTGTGTTTCGTGCACACACGGCCACAGTGAGGAGTGTCCACTTCTGCAGTGACGGCCAGTCCCTCGTGACGGCCTCTGATGACAAGACAATCAAGGTGTGGTCGACCCATCGCCAGAGGTTCCTGTTCTCCCTGAGCCAGCACATCAACTGGGTCCGCTGTGCCAGGTGAGCCCCATGATGGCCAGAGAGCCGTGGAGGGCCCTGGGGTGGGGAGTGGGCACAGAGGGGCTGCAGGTGACAGCCAGCTTGTGACCTTGGGGAAGAGCCTTAGCCACGCCTCAGTTTTCCTGTCCATAGAGTGGGGACAATCGTCGTCCTGTGTTCTGAGTTATCAAGTAGCTTCACTGAGCTGTGTGACCATAGCAGGTCAGCTAGTTCGTTGCCAGCCGTGGTGACCCTGACATCTGTGCTGACACACAAGCCCCGACAGCTGGGGCCTCTCATGAGCAGCACCCACGAGACCAAGATTCCGGTGGGTGCCAAGCTGCCACTCCACACCTTGCTCCTTGTGGCAGCTCTGCGAGGTCTCGTTTCCGTTCCACAGATGACGCCAGGGCTCGGAGCAGTGCCGTCTTGCCCCAGGGCTCGTGGTGCGGAAGAGACAGAACCCGAGTCTCTCCGGCACTAAGGCTTGCCTCTTCCTTGGGCTGTTCTCCTTGGAGCTGCTGGAGGGGCCCAGGCTTCTGAGGGGCATGGCCTGGAGCCTGGCCCTCCCTAAGGTGTGGGAGGCAGTGCCGTGCAGATGGGGCTGGGTGACTGAGAGGGCCTTGGAGGGCCTTGGAGGTCGCAGACCCAGATGTCTACTTCCGACCTACTTGGTTCCTTTATTTTTTTAATTGTCAGAGGGTGTGTTTGCTTACCAGGGAGATGGGAAAGAGGGAGGAGAAAGCACCCCCTAGTGGGGTGTAGTCATGCCGCAATCCCTTCTCCATTTCTCCTTCCCATCAGGATTTCAGGCCTGCATGCACACACACCCAGTGTTTATGAAGCCACTGGGGGAGAGATTTGGACCACAGTCGGCCATGTGGCTCCAGCTTCCTTACCCACGAGGCTGTGGGCCCAGCCCTACTTGATTCCTTTCAACAGAGCTTTATCTTTATTTTTTTTTTTTTAAGGAATTATTTTATTGGGACCAGCAGTTAGTGTAATGGCTATGTCGCTGGACTCCCATGTAGCCGACCGTGGTTTGCGTCCTGGACCCGGTGGCTTAAAACTCACGCTGGGCGTGTGTGCGTGCATGCCCAAGATCCTGAGAGGAGAATGGAGGAGAAGGGATTGCGGTGTGGCCATCCCCCCGGGGGATGATTTCTCGTTTTCTGTCTTCTAACCCTCTCCCCCCCCAAAAAATAATTATTTTATTTAACTTTATTTATTTATTAATTTATTTATTTTTATTTGACCAGAGAGGGACAGAGAGTGAAAGAGGAGGAAAGTGAGAAAGCAAGCCGCCAGGTCCGGGACTCAAACCGTGGTTGAGCACATGAGAGTCCAGTACCCTTAACCACCTCACCACCTGCTGTTCCCCAGCAGAGCTTTCTTTTTTTTTTTGGAGAGATTTTCACTGTAGGGCGCGTGCGCTCCCCAGACAGACAGAGAGAGACAGAGAGACAGAAAGCGAGAAATCACCCCCCAGGGGGGATGGTCATGCCGCAATCCCTTCTCCTCCATTCTCCTCTTGGGATCTTGGGCACGCACGCACACGCGCCCGGCGTGAGTTTTAAGTCACTGGGTCCAGGACACGAACTGCGGTCGACTACGTGGGAGTCCAGCGACATAGCCATTATGCTAACTGCTGGTTCCCCCCAGCAGAGCTTTCTTAATCATCAAATTCCTTTGGTCCAGAGGAAGGGGTTGGGGTGGCCAGGGGACACTGTGAAACCGTGGGGTGAGAGGTCAGGGACCGCTGAGCCTGGCCTCTTCTGAGGAACAAGCTCTTATTCTCCAGGACAGCCCATTCCTTTGTCCCGGGAAGCTCTGATTGCTCTGAGAGGCCTAGACAGGACAGCCAGCTGGGGTGTCAAGCCCACACCGGGCCTCAGGTGGTGGGTCTCTGAGTCCTCCATACCTTTTTGTAGGCCAGTTGTGTTTTGTTGACCGACGCTAAGAGTCAGATGTAGGCTTGGAGGAGCTGGGAGCGGGGTCGTGGTACGGATGGTGCTCTGGGCTAGTCCCGGCAGCTGGCGCTGGCCACCCCGTCAGGTGCGCTGTGTGCCGCTGGGGCTTTGTGTGCTTGGTACTACTCCATGCATGCCGCCAGGTAGACACTGTTCCACTCAGCTCATGGAGACGGGGCCACTTGCCCTCGATTGCATAGGGGGTGAGAGCAGGGCATGTAACCCCAGGCAGGTCCTGGGGTCAGGGAAAGACAGCTGTGGGCTCAGCCTCGGTGGTACAGGTGGCAGTAAGTGACCTACACTGCTGGGGGCCATGTGGCTGCCCATGATGTCAGATCCCAAGTCAACCTGAAGCCAGCTAGGGGTGTGTGCCTCAGATACGGACTAACCGGAGGGCTGGAGAAGGGGATTGTGGCGTGACAAGACCCCATCAGGGGTGCCAGCCTCTCTCTCTCTCTCTTATGAAAGAAATAGACTTTTTTTCATGAGTTATTTATGGGGGCTGGCAGGTGGCATGGTGGTTAAGGGTGCTAGACTTCCCCACATGGCTGACCATGGTTTGAGTCCAGGTTCTGGTAGCTTGATTTTCTCTCTCTCTCTCTGTCCCTCTCTGGTCAAATTAAAATAAATGAATAAAATAAAATAATTCCTTTGAAAAAAAGAATTGTCTATTTAATTTTATTTATTACTATTGTTTTTTGTTTTTGTTTTTTTAATTTGATGAGAGAGAGACAGAGAAAATGAGAAGGCGAGCTGCTAGGTCTGGGACTTGAACTGCAGTTGGCCATGTAGGAATCCAGTGCCCTTAACCACCTTGCCACCTGCCAGTCCTGAAAAAAATAGACTTTTTTTTTTTTAAATAATCGTTTTATTTAACTTTATTTATTTATTTGTTTTTTTTTGACCAGGGAGAGACCCAGCAAGAGAGAGGGAGGGAGAGAGAGAGAGGAAAGTGAGAAAGCAAGCCGCCAGGTCCGGGACTCGAACTGCGATTGACCCATGTAGAAGTCCAGTGTCCTTAACCACCTCACCACCTGCCAGCCCAAGAAATAGACTTTTTTTTTTTTTTTTTTTAAAGAAATAGACTTTTTAAAAAGCCTGGAGGCTGGCGAGCAGTGCCCGTGGCGCCTGTTAAACATGGTGTGCCTTGTGCCCCTCCTGGTCCAGGTTCTCCCCCGACGGGCGGCTCATCGTGTCAGCCAGTGACGACAAGACTGTCAAGCTGTGGGACAAGGCCAGCCGGGAGTGTGTCCACTCGTACTGCGAGCACGGCGGGTGAGTCCCCGGATGCTGTCCTCCACCCAGGCATTCAGCTGGCAGGAGCTCCCTGCTACCAGCCCTGACAAGGGTGCAGCTTTAACTCTGAAACCCTAGTCTCCCAGCTGCCCTTCGGGTACGAACACAGCGTTCTCTAGGAGGACTTGGGTTTTGGCGAGCTCCCCCCAGGTCCCCGGTGTTGTGTCCTCACCATGTCCTTGCTCTCCCTGGGCCACCCGGTACAGACACATGGCAGAAGGACGAGGTGTGGGTTGAGGGGCAGCATGAGCAGACACCCAGGGATGGGAGAACAGTGCATTTCGGGCCCATCCTGAGCCGGGGCAGACGTCTCACGGTACGTGGTGGCCCTGTCTTTATAGCTTCGTCACCTCTGTGGACTTCCACCCTAGCGGTACGTGCATCGCGGCCGCCGGTATGGACAACACGGTGAAGGTGTGGGATGTGCGGACGCACCGGCTGCTGCAGCATTATCAGCGTGAGTGTGGATGGCTCCTGGGCCGCGAGCTGCAAGCTGCGGCCGGACGTGCTGGCACCAGGCTTTGCTCTGTTGCTGTGGGGCTTAGACCGGCCTGAGGTCCACCTCGAGTGGGGGGTGTCCTGACTTGAACCTTGGCCAGGAGGAGGTGGAGTGTGGTGCTCCCTGGCTTCTGCCAGGCCCTTCAGTGCCCACTGCGAGGTGGCAGAGTCTCACATACTGCAGGGTCAAGCCACTGTCTGGGAATTAGACCAGGTGGGAGTGTTCAGTGGGTCTCTGGCCAGGGCTCTCCCTGAGGGCCATCTCTCATGCCACTTGCCTCTCCCTGTAAGGGAGCCTCTGCCCTCCAGGGCCAAGATGCCGACTCCAGAGCTGGGGGCAGGGAGCAGGGCTGTCAGCACTGGTGGGACCTTGGCCACCACTGGCCTCAGTGTCCTCCACATGCCTAGCGCCATGAGCCCCACGGAGGGTTTACTGAGCTGAAGCCTGGCTCAGGAGCCAGGCCCAGGGCTGTGCCCCAGTGTCATCTGTCCCTTGGAAGATTGGGCAGTGGGCAGTTGACCTGGGCTGGTACCAGGCTCTGGGTGGGAGTGTGAGGGGTGAGGAGCAGCTGCGGACGTGGTTAGGAGGAGCTGGCTGGAGTTGTGGGCTGGGAACAGGTGTGACTGGTCAGGGCGACAGGGGACCCCAGTTCTCATGGAGCCTAGAGGAAGGACCTGGGAAGGGCCACTGGAGGGACTGGGAGTCGTGCAGGAGGCAGGACAGTGGGTGAGACCAGGAAGGAGCAGAGTCGCAGTGGTCTCGAGCTGTGGTTTTTGACCTGGGCCTGAGTAAAGTCCACGAGCCACGTCACCGTCCACGCCTGACGTGGGAGGAAGTTGCTGGACCTGGGCATGGGACCTGGAGCTCCGCGCTCTCCCCACTCCTCCCACGACCCTTTCCCAGCAGACTCTGGGGTATTTGAGGACAGCACTTCTTTGAGGTAACTGAAGTAAGCTGACCCTCCCAGGATGGGGAGAAGATCCTGGTACCAGAAAGCACACGTGGCCGGTGTCAGCACTCCTGCCTGTGTGACATCCCAGCAGCTCAGCGGTAGGGCCTGTGTCGTGGTGTTATGGGAGTTCATGAGTTGGATCATTCAAGAACTGAGAGGCTGGCTGGCACAAATGGGAATAAGGGACAGTGTTAGTGACGAGGATGGGATGCTGAGTGTCCGTCCTGGTGTCGGTGTCCAGGAGTCTGGGCTCCTGGTGAAGCCTGCAGTGCCCTACACCACCACCAGGTGGCAGGGGCCAGCCACAAGAACTGGTTCTTCCCTTGCGAGGAGCCCTGGGGTCACTGATGCTCTTTCAGACAGAGGCTTCTAGAACAGAGCAGGACTAGAGTCTGCCCTGCCCTGGTAACCACACTTCTCCATCCTCTCCTGGCTGAGAGGCCCTTCCGCTGGACCAGGCCTGGGTTAGAGGCCAGGGTGGGGATCAGGCACACCTCACAGGTGACTAGGGAAGGTGGGCAAGTGCAGATGGGGCCTGGGCGGGGGAGGCAGGAGGGCGCGATGAGCAGTGCAGCAGTCAGGGTGCGAGCTCCGTTTCCTTTCTGAAAAGGCGCTGACGATGGGGCCTTCCTCGTGGGGTCTTTGAGGATCTGACAGGAATTCACGAAGGGTTATGACATAGGGTATGCCCCACAAGTCTTAAAACCAAGAAGAGAGGACCTCTGGGTCACTGGGGTGGTTCCCGGCCCATCTCTAGTGGAGCGGGAGCCTGGGCCTGGGCTTCCTGGGGTGCAGCAGCAGGTACCCACTGGGAAAACCGTTGAATGCTGGCTCTGGCCAGGATCTCAAAGATGTGGCTTGACTGGTGGTGCCAGGACTAGTCTCGTCACTTGAGGGGTGAGGGATGAGGGACGTCCAAGAGGACAGCAGTGCTGAGAGCCTGCCTGGCTGGCGTGCCCTGGTGGCTGGATGCCCTGGTTGCCTGCACTGCGGTCACAGCAAGTGCTGGCATCGGCATGGGGAGGGCTCAGGCCAGGGGATGAGTAACGGAGTAAGTAGAGGCAGCAGG